AGTCTATTGAACATTGTAGGGCTTAGCTTGCCGCTTCATTGCTGTTTTTCCCTCACTTCCCCTTATCCGTGACGAGCATTGTCACCAATCAGAGCGTGTATTCCCATTGAGTCTTAGTCTTGGAAGAGGGTTTGCACTGAGGTTGCCCCAGCTTTTGCTCACTGGCTTCAGTGTCAGCTTAAATACAGTTTTCAAGAGGTCTTTCTCTGGCCACTCAGACCCAACCGCTACCTGTTTCTTCCTCCTGATTGATTTTCTGCCCAGGATGCATCATCACCTAGAAGAGTCCTGGTGTGATGCTGTGGGCTAATGTGTCCGACTGCAAAGTCGTTTGAACTGCAAGGTTGGTGATTCAAGCTCACCAGCTGCTCCTTGGAAACCCTATACAGTGTTGCTACAGGTCAGAAACAACTCCACGGCACTTATCAACAACAACAACAACAACAGAGCTACTCGACTGGGGTTGTGTGGATCCAAGCTGTCATGGGATTATTCATGGCTACCCAGGGCCCGTGCACACTGCCCCCCATGGTTCCAGCACATGAGGCTCTGACATAGAGGTCTGGACTTGTTCACAGGACACTGGGCTGCAAGAGCTTCTGGGAGCAGAGCCCCAAGATCTTAGAAACTGACTTAGATTTAAACATCTTCTTCCCACCTATCCCCTAACTGCACTAGTAGTTTCCCTGAAAAGTTTAGCTACTTAGTGGATACCGGCAGAACGTCTGAAAGTTCTGGACAAGGAGCTGCCTAGGCAAGCCGAGCATCCCTTCCTGTCTGCACTGGACTTGGGCGAGTCTCGGGCTGTTGGTGCCACCAGCACGTTCCATTTCTGTCCTGGCACCAGCTGACGGCAGCGTTGCCCTTTAGTTCTCCCAGGTGGCCAGTCATGTCAGAGAGGAAAGACGATGCTCATCTGTTTCCTTATAACCGAGTTAAGACAATTTGACCTTAATTTTTTTCTCTCTCGAAGACATAGCCAACATGAATCATATTAGCTTTAACTTAACAATGCATTTTATTCTGTGCATTAGAAAATAATAACGTGACCATGACTCAGAATTCAAGTCAGGCTCTTCCCTCTGCTTCCCACCGCCCTCCCTGTTTCCCTTCTCAGTTACAAGTGTACTTTGTGTGCTTCCAGAATTACCAGGTGCACGCACACACGCACACAGGCATCTTCAAATTACCAGGTGCACACACACAGGCATCTTCAAATGAGGGGCCTGTTGAGGCACAGAATCTTAGCACACCTTGCTTTTCCCATTTCCTTCGGAGGTAATGCTGCATGCCATTTGAACGTTGGCCTGTCCTTTTTCTTGGTGGTGGAGAAAGTTTGGTGAAGGTGACTGAAGTTGTGACCTTTGATTGGGAAGATAAATCAGGTATCTTTTTCTCATCCCAGACTCACTCAGAGCAAAAAAATTGGTAGGTAGAGGCCTAAAAGTAAATGTTGGAAATAATTTCATGTTTCACATGTCTTTCTCCTCTTTTTTTTTTTTTTTTTTTTTTGTTGTTGTTAAGTGCTATTGAGTTGGTTCTGACTCATAGTGACCCAGTATAGGGTTTCCAAGGAGCGGCTGGTGAGTTTGAACCACTGATCTTGCAGCCCAGGGCGTTGACCCACACAGCACCATACCAGGACTCCTTTCTCCTTTTGGCCCTCCCTTTTTCACCCTAATGCACTGTGGGTTAAGCATTGGGCTGCTAATTGCAGGGTCGACAGTTCAGCCCCACTAGCCACTCTGGGGATGAAAGATGAGGCTGTGTGTGCCCATGAATGTTTACGGTTACAGAAATCCGATGGAGGATCATTGTGAGTCAGCATCAACTTGATGGCGGTGGCTTTGCTTTGCTTTAGTGTTCACCCTCCTTTCTCACCTTGAAATCACATGGGGTGAGTCCCAGGAGAAACTGTGTCAAGGTGAAGGTGCTTGTCCCCATCTC